CAGAATACAAACAAAAGGTGATGTAGCATTGAAAAAAATATATAGGGAACTAAACTAGGTTAAATCCTTTTATTAGCTCTCACACAGGTGCAAATAATTAGACTTTAGAGCATGGCAGTTGGAAAAACAAACAAAAAAAATAATGAGATGTTGAAGTGACCTATTAAGCACGCAGAGAAGAGAGAGGTGCTAAAACTGTATTAAACACAAAAAGATCTGCCCTCATTATATCGGCATCCCTGCTGAGGAAGGCGTCTTCTTGAGGAGAGGCAGAGAAAGGGCTGAACTGTAGATTCCAACACGCCAAAGCAAGCTTCTTAGCAACTTAGGAAACTGAGAGTGCTGACAACTAATTTTATATAGAGCTTTTTGGCTGCAAAAGAAAAAACACTACAGACATTTATAATGAGCTGAGGCCAAAAAGGGCTCAAAAGCTGAGTGGAAAAGGATGGAGCTGCAGTTTTATAGCCTTTTCCCACCTGCTGATGCTCGCTGTAGTGTTAAGATTGTTAGCAGATATCAGCCATCTTTACTCACGACTGCATGCTGCAGCCATCTGACACAGACAACATCCTAAAACCTAAAAGGCTGCAGATTGACTGTATACATGCTTTAAATATATACATATACATGCATGTATATTTTACATGTATTCTTTTGTATACAGTAACTCATATGCAGAAACATTAACTTGAAGATCGACTAAGAAGATTTTTGGCACAGCATGTTCTGTCACTGAAAGCTCCCTGTTGTATTGCCAAGGTTTCTAAATCCTTTCAGCAGGCAGTTGTAAGGTTCAATTACAACAGGGATGCCCAGCATATGACCTGTAAGCTACACTTAGTTTGGAAAGCTGAGGGGCGCAGGAAAAATCAACAATTAATCAGTCTGGGAGAAAAGAAATTGTTTAAATGTATTCATATATACCCTATACATAACTGTGAAGTGCTACTTTGAGTATTTTAAATACTATGAGAAACACTGAATTAAATTAGCATAGGAATATAAAATTATTTCCAGCTCACCAGTATTAAAAGACACTACTGCAATAACTCTTATTTCACGAACAACATGCCCTTCACTTTCTGCGAGCAACATTATCTTAGGTTTTCTTTACATGGATGAGATACTGTGTGCCTGGAACTACATTAATAATGCTGTTTGATATATCTTTCAAGAATTCTCACTTTAAAACTGTAGGTTTGTAGCAAGTAAGCACCATTCCACCTGGTATAGAAGCTTTAGAAGCTTTTAAAAATGTTATACAGTATGACTTGCGTGAGAACTCCACTAAATACAGCAGTGTGTGTTGTTCTCCAAAAACAGAAATTCTATGAAGGCTTTCCATGGTAAATCAGTTTTAAACAAATAAACCCTTCTGGTTCGCTGCCCCCTGTACCAGACCAGCTGCTTTGAACTGCACAGGCTGTTTACAGTGCAGGAATAAAACAATGGCACCTGCTCAAAAACAGCAGAATTTCATTTTTTTTAAAAAAAGCTTTAACTTTGTTTGTTTTTTCTATCTTAAAGGGGTCAATAAAGTTATTTCCTGATACCATAATAAATAAACAGCTGAGGAATGAATACCTTGAATATTTAGGGGGCCACTGCTGACCAAAGAACAAGTAAGTAAAAGGATTTTTAATCTCCAGCTGACTGTCTAAAAGCAACTGGATATCCATGACCAATTCACTTCCGTTTCCCTGCAAAATCCCTTCAATCCAGCACTTTATTTAACCCTCTGTCAAAGCTGTTTTACTAAAAAATGGGATTTCTAACACCTGGCAAAACACTTTCCTTAGTGATCCTCTCTGTTTGGTACTCTTCCCATTTACTAACACCCGTACTCAGAAGGACTCCCACCCACTATCTTACTACAAAAAAACACAGGAATTAAAGCACAAATCTGACATGCACATCACAGCATTTGAGTAATGGGCAAAACATTTTCAAAAAACAACATTTTTACTGTCCATTTCTAATTTACTCTAGCTGTGCAGAATAAGCAGCCAGCTGGCCTTAATAGCTTCATGTGCAAGTCACTGATACATAACAGATGGCATATTAAATTGACATGTTTGTATTTTGATAGATCACAATACATTACATCATGTGCAATCAATCAGATTGCTTACAGGTGTCTTATTCTTGTTATAATTTTCATTCAGAACTGTAAAGAAGATTAAAAGTCTTCCAAGTGAGGTCATTTCTCTGTGTCTCATACCAAATAATGATGACAGAAGTCATAATAAGCATTTTTATTGTCAGTATTTTTGCTTTATTTCCATTTAACTTAATCTGCTATTCTGGTGTTGCAGCCCTTCATCCTCCACTATCAAAATTATGACTTCCCTAATGCTAAGAAAAACCTTGGGACCTAATTGTGAAACAAAATGACATTCCTTGGTCACCAAATGCTTATCACAGTGCTTTTTAAAGTATATTCTACAAACAGCTCAAACACTTCCCTGGAGAAACATCTCTAGCTAAGACACTAACAGTTCTGACTTGTGCTTGCTACAGTATCTGAAAAGGGCTTCTGAGCAAAAACCAAGACCTGGCCACTTAAGCACTAAGTCCTACACTGAGTGGATGTTGCTGCAAGCACTGAGAGCTTGAGATCTGTTTTCATCACTCATTTAGCACAAATAAACTGAACAACTATTCCCTGTGAATCACACAGATCTACTCTGTCCCCCTCATTAAAATCTTGAGAAGACACTTAACTGAGCTTTTGAGGAATTTGATGAACTGGGAGAATTCTAGTTTCATTTCTTTCTGAAGAAAACCTCCCATATCAGAACTTATTAACAAAAGAGGCCAAAGCTGAGGCTTAATAGTGTTATCACAGCACTTTAGTAGTAAACCTTGTCTATTTTCAGTGCTTGATTAGAAACAACTGTCCTGGTTTGTAAACCCTGGTACAGTCAGGGGAATCTAGTTACAAAAACAAGTTAGGTTTTTATTCTGTTTGAACTACTTCTTTTATAAATCGAATAGCTACAATAACCCCTATAATCTTCACAATAGTCGATCTCTACAGGAGCATGTGGGGGGTATGGTACACAAAAGAGGGCACCCCTTCATCTCTTCAGAATCCTTTTCATATGTCAGTCAAGGTGGGCTGCTCTGACATTAAATGCAAGAGCTTAGCCAAATGCAACACAGCTCACACAGCTGTCAAATGTAAGACAGTACAAAAATGGGGAGCTGACAAGGTGCACTCCAGAGCACCTCTGCCAGTGAGAGCAGGGCTCCTTTTCATGAATTCTGATCTCCTTCAAAATATACAGACCCTTTGTCTAATGTTTTACCATTTTTTTCAAGGGATGCAAACAATCATGTAAAAGTCTTAAAAGAAATGACAGGCAATTGCTTAAATATATTCTTTATAACCCTGAGTTATAACATTCTTTTTTGTGTCTTTTAGGATTACAAGAGCACAGATCATAAATGGTGCATTTTATTATTGTTAACTTTCCAGGTGATCGGTGTATCTTTTTTGAGAGAATAATATTTATAGTATCATATTTATAAAAAACTGAAATTAGAAATCAGCTTTTATTGTGGTAACAGAACACATGTTGTTATTTTAAAAATTACATTTTGTCTTGCAAAGGAGCTGTGTCCATTATCAGTTAAAATAAATTACTACTGCATTTTAACATTGCTCTAATTTTAAGGGTATCTTGTATGAATATTATTTCTATAGCTGTGACTGGCTAATCATTAGGTAATAAGGTTCTATATCCTGTTTCCCTGCTATAAGAGCTCCTGAAAGATAAATTATTAAGCTCTTTTGATACATTACTCTCATCTATTATGGGTTTAGGATAACAGAGTGAATATGACAATAAATGAAACGGCAGTGTAGTGTAGATAGATCCACAATCCAGTGGACAGATTTATACCTGGATAAATAGGTATGTTCTTAAAACCCAAACACAGATTGTTTGGCTCTAGTTTTCATTTAGAATAATAAAATTCTTAAAATGTATACATCCATTACTCTTATTTCTTTGCACTGTTACCCATGCTCTCAGAATTAGCCATTCTGAAAACTGATCATTTCCAAACACCCAGTCTGTTGCATAACTAACTAGGCAAATCTCCACAGTTACACAAAGGGCAAAAGAGAGTTTAGGCTAGACTCACATGGTGAAACAGTGAATAGCTTGTGTTACTGGCAAGCTCCAGCTTGGATCAAGATGCATGCCAATCCACATTTCATATGGAGAGTGGACTCTAAGGTCCAAAAAACTATGGTAAAACAGGATACACTATCAAACTGGAAAATCCCACAAAAATTAGACAAAAAAGCTAGGACTTTGTGCTACTAGGAGTTCTAGCTCTCAACTGAGAGTCTGAGGGGGATGGTGGGAGACATTAAAGTCAAAAGTTCACAACAAAGATATAATGTTGAAAATAACGTTCATATGGAAAGGCTTAACAGGTAAAGCTGTAACAGATGAAACACAGAGGTCTTTCAATAAATCCCTTGGGTCAATTGTGCCAGCATTAAGCTTCAGTAGACATAGACATCTTAATTAGACATAATTATTACACCTTTTAAGTTTCCTTTTGTTTACAAAGAATGGCAATCTTTAAATATTTTATGTATTCCTATTTTTCTGCTGTTTTGAAATCTTAATTAACACAAATGTGGCAAAACCTTGAAAGAAAACTGCTATTATAGTTGTATCTCATCCAATATCTGTTGATAATTTAGATTTCAACAGTGTTGTACATAACATATTCATTTTCATTGGCATCCTTTAAAATAAAGCCTTTGTCGAAGTTTAAATTATCAGAAGGTGCAAATCATTTTTTACTCAGGCTGCCCTGCTAATCATCTTCTAATCATTTTGGTGCATATTCCTAATGGATCATGTAGAGCAATAGTCACATCACTATTTCACCCTGCTTGTTGAATAGTAATGATGTTATTCAACACAGATGCTGTGTAGTGGAAGGTGTGAGCTGTGTCCGTAGTCTCCTACCTGTTATTGTTATGTTGCTGTAGATGTTTGAAAACTGCTCCTTCAGCAGGACCAGCTGTGTCTGAGCTGCTTTCTCTCGCTGCAGCTCCAGCATGATGTCAGGATGGTTCGCAAGCTTGCAGCCTTTCTGCTTATCCAGGGCAATGTCACTCCGCACAATATCTAAATTAAAAAATAATCACTTTAGGTGCCATACCACTCTCCATATCTAAGTCTCCTACAAACAGTTTACAACAGCACACGTGATGATTATCTGCCTGTGAGATGGTGCTCATTAGCTCAGAGCAACACAGCTATAAAGAGAAATGCCTCCCTTCCTCTCAAGAGAACACTGGTTCACAATCAGAACATTTTTTTTTCAGAACCTATTTATTTCACTGAAAAAATGAGGAGAAAAATAAAAAAATACAATATAAGGGTCAGATACCAATGTGAAAAACAAAGAAAACAACACATATTTCTAAAATGTGTTTTAAACACAGATAAAAAAACATATTACAATATATCTATTGAACTTTTAAAGGCAGTGTCTTCATAAAATCACTATCTCAAGCTTATTAAACCCAACAAAAAATAAATGTTCAGAATGTAATAATAAATCCAACTATTCATGTCTTATTTAGAGACAATATTCCAATAAACTCAGTCTGAACTGTAACTATATACAGGTACCAATTGCTTCTTCTAGTCATTGGCCAGGTCCCAACTTCATAATTATCTAGATAAGGTTACAGTATTGTGGGAAAGCTGCAGCAGACACTACCTGCTTCACAGGCTAGTTGAATGCACAAAGCACTGTGACAACTTTATTTAGAAGACTTAGACTTTGGAAGCGTTATAGTGTACTGATAGCCTTGAGGGACAGGGAGAAAGTAGGTGAGTAGGTTACTTGTTCAGATTTAGGAAGCTGTGAAGTGTAATGGCTAGAACTGAGAAACTGGGAGGCATCCTGGGATGCATCCTGGGACAGCATTAGAAAAGACCGTTGAGAGCTGAAGCAGGTAGATGCAAAGTAGTATGTAGTCTGGTAAGGATGGACCTTGACATGATAGAGTTTCCACAATATCACATGGCATAGCTTCCAATAAATGACAATTCCTTAGACAGGAAGTCAGTCCTTCACGTTAAGTATTTCAAAAGGGTCAACTCCTTCCAACACTGAAGAAGATGCTTCTAATAAACTGATGGCCGAAGAACTGAACACAAAGCATCCCACTTTCTGCATGAATCACAAACAATTAAAAATCCCCTTTAAAATATCACCATTCTGCCCAATCACATTAAATCAAATATTCCCAGTTTGTGTAGGATAAGAGAAATATTTTACAGTAAGAAATCAGTAAATGTTCATTGAAAGTTTGATTAAAAGATTTTTTCAGTTGGTATATATTAATACATTCCCAAAGATATTTTCTAACATTTCCTCCAAATAAAATCCCTTAGGTTCATTTCCCTATCACCTCATTATTTTTCTTCTCATATCATATTCTTATTTCTTCCCAAAATTGAATTTTGCAGTGGCCCGTTCTTGTGTAGAGGCCCTTGCACCTGGTGAACAGTGGGTTTAAATACAGATTTATGCTCCTAGTACAGACTGGAGGAAGTAAAGGGAAAAAGCCCTCACCATCTTCATAATTCTTCAGGTAGTAGTCTGGACCCGGGCCCCCTCTGGTTTTAGCCAGATTCTTCAGATTGTGAAACTGAAGAAAGTCTGTCCTCTTGCCTCCGAACCTCAGATAGGCAGGAGAGAGTCCCCTCGCAAGTGTCACAAGTCTCTTGGAGCTGCAGAGATGCACAAAGAGATATGAGGAGGGACCAACGTTACAAATCTGGCCCACTAAACCACAATACAGACCAGTGCTGTCTAGAATGAACACAGAGAGGGCAACCCAACATTCTCACCACAAGGGACTCGGACGGCTACAGGTGAAGACTGAATATCCATTTGGCAGGTCTAAGAAATCTGGGCAATACTGATGAGAAAGATGGGTGCACAAGGGAGCATGGTTACTGGGAGAAAAACAAACCTCACTGATGTAAACAACTGGCACATCAGCATAGTCCCGCTTTGGAAATGCCATGCTTCCACAAGAAATGATTTTAAGTTAAGGAGCAATAAATCTCCAAAAACAAAGTACAACACTAATGATGTTTTTGTTTTTGCAATGTGAGGGCACAGACATTTAGATCTGCTGTTTGCAATTAAGTTTAAAGCAGCCCTCCAGTTTATGCTGCATGGAGCTAACTCTTATCAAAAGGATCTTGGTAATATTTTAGTGCTAAATAATCTTGATTAGTATCCCTGTCATTACATGTGGGTTACTGGAAAGAGACAGAGACAATAGCTATGACACCCGGTGACCTGAAACATATTTCTTTTAATGCATATTTAACTTAACTATTTCCTTGTAATTATTGTGTTACGTGCTACAACTATCAGTAAGCATGCTAATTATAGTTATATCCTTTACTCCATTATCTAATGAATATGAAATAATTTTTCTTGACATGACTAAAAAAACAATGTGATTTATTTTAGTAATAGAATTTCTGGAAAATTGTTTTCTTTGATATGCTCATTAAAAAAATCTAAAGGAAAGACACACATACAGTACTGTAGTTTGGTGTAAGCCTAGTTGTCAGCATATGATTTTAAGCTTACATTTTGCTTTTTATTACATGAATTGTTTTCATAATCGTTCCAAATAAACTAAAGAAAGATTTCGAAATACATTCAAGCAGGTGATGTTCATGCTCTGTTTGTGTCTCTTCAAGGGCTGAAGAACAGAAGAGTTTTGTAGATCTATTAAAAAACGCAATATGAGGAAATAGAAGAAAATGTGAAAACGGGAATGTTTTGAAACTTAATTGAAAACAAGTTAAAACGGGGTATTAAATGCGTTTATGAAATGTAAATATTATATTCCCTAAATTAAGAACAGAATTCAGAAAGCCTCTCAGTTTTCTTTTCGAACAAGAAATAATACAAATTCACAAAACTAGAATTATCAAGTGCGAAAAATCTGTCATCCTTTAAACTAAATTTACTTTTCAAAATATTTTGATTTATATTTGAAGTTTTAAGCTATTTATTCAGATTTGGAAATGTAGTGCTCGTAATTATACGATTTTTACAACTCGCAGAATCCCGCCCATTTTAAAAGACACACTAGTTATGGTCGGGCGTCTTATTCCCTGTCCAGGACTCTCAAAAAGAGAAAGGAAAAGATGGATTAAACGATATAAATAAACAGCACTTCCCCTCCCAAATCTGAGGTCACAAATATAGCCTAATTTAATGTTATTTTAATAGGCCTATATACAATTTAATAATCTGGGGAGTTCGAGTTCGATTTTTTTTAAAGAATAAGTAACACAAAACTTGCTTCGTAACAAGGTAAAAACAAAAGTTGAGTTTCATTCAGCACATCATTTGCAGTAAGCATGGATTTATAGTGGGGAAGCAAGACATTTACCAAGTGGGCTACATTCCGGACTCCCTCGGCCAACAATTCATAGGAAGTGGTTTTAATGTCGTTTCTATACGCTTTCTTCGACTTCTACACATGTAATGTCTTATATAAAGTTTTTATTAAACGAATAGATTTAAAAACAACTCATTGACATTTAGTAAGAAATGTGAAAATCACGGTTTACGTCAAATTAAATTTCCAATATGGTCTTTTCCCCCGTGAATGTATTACGTTCCGTAGAACCCTACAATCTATAGTATTTTATGTTCAAATTAAAAAACCTTTATCAGAATCCGTGACCTTTATCCGTAGAAGGTCAAAACAGAAAAAAAAACAGTTGAGTTCAATTTATGCTGAACTTATAAACGTAATAAATTATTCAAAGAAATGTGTTTTAATGTAAAATTGAAAAATATTTTAGCGCACATCTTTGAAAAGGACAATTAATGAAATTAATACCGCAAGATGTCCCGAAAAAAAAACACCTTGTAATATACAGTTGACATTTCAACCATAAGCCTCCTTATTAAGATACGTTTGAAATATCTTAAAATCAATGTACTGTTACATTGACTTTAAGACATTTCAAACGTATCTTAAGAAATGTATTACCATCGTTATCGACAAATTGTCACAATTCTTTAAATCAAAAACCAGAGATTTTTTAAAGCAAAAAGATTATTACAATAATAAAACCTAACAACAAATATGCGAAAATCTACGAAAAAATAAAATGACATTCATTTTATTAATTTGTTCTACAATATATTTACATCCATTCAAAATAAAAAGGATATTTTTATTTTTAAAAGCTGTGGATTTTTTTAATTAAAACTTAGAATTACCCTATACTAATCTGGACTTAATACACCGTGTTCCATAAATAATGTAGAGTCGATTTCCATAATTAGTGTAGTAACATCCATTAGGAAATGTATGTCGATATCAAAGGTATTTAGACACCTGACAAGTCATGTTATTTCTCTAACAAGAGAAGAAAATAAAAACAGGATTGCAGGATTTGTTCTGTTGCTGTAGGCTTCGACCCAATAGGTCTGGTAGGCCTACATTTGAAAATAACGCACCTCTAAGAAGGAGAAAGACAAGTCTGTAAGTCTGTGTGGAGGACAACGGGTGAAGTTATGACAAGCCGAAAAAAAATGGAAAAGAAGAAGCTCTGTTTGAGTAAAGATTTAAGAACGTTTTTAAAAGACAGGAGTTTTCGAGTTTTCGTTTAAGTACTTTTCAAAAAGAACCCTACTGGACTTGTCAGAATGCTTATCTAACTGGAAAAAATAAAACTAGTACACATTGTTGAATTGCTGACAGTCTATCATTAGCCTGCTCTGGGTAGAAAAGCTTTCTTACCATACGAATAGCTTTTACATGTAGCCTACAAGATCGTGTGACATATGTTCTCCAGTTGATTGTTGCTGCCTTTGTGAAAAAAAATCGACGGTTCTACTTTAAAAAGCCGTGGTGCAGAATATTAAGAAAACGTGAAGCGACCCGTTTTCTTTATTTTATTACTCAAGTCTTGAGTAATTCGTAGTAGACTAAAAAACGAAATGACAGCAAGTTTGGAATTGTTCACTTCCAGGTCAAAAATGAAAGGATTTTAAAAACTAGTCGGGAATGTGTGTGTTTATGTGTGTGGAGGGGGGGCTCTTTTAACTCTTTCATTTTATACAGGACTTATTGTTCTCGTCTAAAAAAGTGCATGGACCAAAACCATGACCGAGCAGTTAACATAAACCAAGACTGAGGTTCAAAGGTCACATGCCCCCACCCCTTAAGACTAATTCATATAATGAAACCACGCTACGCTTCATTTTGAAAAAGCATAGTTGTAGTTGTTTGCATACCTTTAAAGAAACGTAAAAATAAGGGAGGGGGGGAAACTATTAAGATCAATTGTTGTATTTTAAAATGGACATACTGTACTACACTCTAGAATTCCATTGGATTTGCCAGCACTGCAACTGTTTCTGCTATCAACCACTATTAGAAATGTCTGCAATAACAGTGACAGTGGTAAAAATCATAAAACCACAAAATCATGCATTTCTAGTTCCGTCAAATGACTTATTTATAATACCGACCGTTACCTGTTACATGTGCAAAGCAGAAAGAAGAATGGTCAATGGAATCGATCGGTCCCGCTATAGTCATTTGTGGGAAAGGGGGCGTAAAGGAAATCTAAAAGTCTGAATGTGCATTTTAAGAGAACTTAATCATTAAAAACAACACCAGTCACTGGCAAGATGTGTACGACACTTTTAATATATATTTCATATAGTAATCATAAGTCTAAATAAATGCTCTGGTGAGAGTCAAAGTCAAAGTTATGTCAAGTGATAATACTATACTTCTTTGCGAAAGCTTACAGACAGCATAGAAAATTAATTAAAAAGTGAATGTGTGTTCGAATTTATATACCTTTTAAAAATGCCCCCCATTGAAAAGTATGTTCTCGGGCTAGTGTAGATCTTGTGAAATATGTCTTTTATGACCACCTTAAAATATTTTTTTCTCCCAGATTGTACTGAAAACACAATATTAATAGCGCGGGGTTCCGAAATGTGGCAACAGCTACTAACGGGCTATTGCCAACGAGGTAATGTGTTCCACTGCTATGCACTTAACTAAGAACACATTGCATTTTCACATGAATGATGAAACGTTTTATTTTCTGTGACTGAAAAAAAGAACAGAAGCTAAGGCGATTTGAAATTACCTCTGAGGGGGAGAGGTAATGATGGTGGTGGCGCAGGAGAGAAAAAGACGAATAGTATAAAAGTTCTAAATTACCTTAGGAAGTCGAGCCACCCGTCTTTAATGATAGAAGGGTCCAACTGCAAGGAAAGGAAGTTTTCATTTACAGTCTTTACAGGACTCCGCGTGTTCACGTCAAGGAGAATGAGCGTTCTTTCCATGAACCCCTGTCCCTTCCCTCCCGAAGCCGTTTTTCTGTAGGCATCCGCCGATGAGGATATCAAGGGTTGCACCATCAAAGCAATGGATACCAACCACAGAGAAGAGCCGAAGACAGGGGAGAGGCAGTGCTGGGGCATCATCATCCGCTGAACACCGGGCGGAGCACCTCGACTGAGAACCTGCTGAAGCTATGAAAAAAAAAAAGGGAAAAAACAGATTCACGGAATGAACTGCCTTAAGTTCAATTGCCCTTCTCTATGAGCATAGATATCTGTTTCTATCTTTCTGTCTTTTTCTCTACACCCCCCCCTACCCCTCTTCCCCCATGTTTTGGAGCTGGTGAGGGGAATTCACGCCCCGGGCCAGCCTCCTCTCGAGCTGAGCCAAGAATTGCTATAGTCCAGCACCGCCCCTCTATCAGACACAGAACTGGCTAGTTCTTAAAGGTAAGATGGCTCTCATTTAACACGTTAGAAGTCCCAAAGGGGGAAATGCACTAGTATTTCTGTGAAGCACGCTACATTAGCATAGAATCATGTGCATTGCGGATCTACGGTCAGGCTTGTAGCCCAACACAGTGCTGTTCAGTAACTTTAGACTGCTTTGTTTTACAACATTTCAACAGTATAAATCTATAGTACTATCATATGAGGACACAATCAACATTTCTTGTAGATCTAGAAATCTGGGAACACATTTTGTCTCTTCTTCGTAAATATTGCACCATGGTTCAGGATCAAATTACATTTTACTCTCATAAACAAGACATATATTAATTAGATCCGTGCAGACTGACACACAAATCACAAATCAACTTCAGATGAATATTTGAAACGTTTCTTAGAGATGTTTCAATCATGTTAACTGAACTGCTGCGGTTTTCCAAGTAAGCTAAGTCAGCAAAAAAGGTCTATTTACTTTGAGCAAGCAAATACAGTTGCCAGTATAATGTAGCATTCTAAAGATAAAGGTTTCTGTAAACGCCACATTCTGTTACATACTCAAACCACTTACGTTATATATATTATTCGTATATATTAAATACACGCACAGCTATCAGAAGAACATGGCAACAATAGCATCTTCAAGACGCCGAATTAGTGCGAAACCAGTCCTTAGTTCTTAAATGTCTTGAATGAGGCTATCTGCAAAGCAATATAGAATTGCCTTCGTGATTTAAATATTATTTTGCTTAAAATTGTGCCTCAAATATTCACTTGTGACTTTCAGACATGTAAACGTAGCCAGAAAATGGCCAAATAAAACGTTTTAGGCCTATAAAAAAATCCCCTGAAGTTCTTCCACTGCCAGAAACCAATGTTTGTGTTGATAATACTCATTTTTTTCATTTTGTTTCGTGCAGATGATTCAAAGCGCACAGTAGCAATGAGCAGTTCTGCTATTTGGAATCTCTACTTCAACGTAGATTTCATTAGCTGTCACCATTTTACAGACGCATGTGGGCATCTGATGCATTACATGAAAGTTACAGGTTCCAGACCTCATGGGCCATTAAAAAAAGCCTTTGACCCTTAGCTGGAACTGGCTCACGTGTTATGATGTCTAAGGGGAAAGTTATTAATACACGATTAGTATAGCTAAGAGTACTTTTGACTTCCAAGATCACTTCAAAGATCCACTGTTTGAAGGAGGACCTCCTCATAAAGTGAAATTTATGAGACTTTTAAGTTTATCTTTGTGTCTGAAGTTACAGAGGTAAAGTGTCGTACTGTACATACGTGTCGTACACGTACTGTACTATTCTACCTGTGTCCTGCGGTGACATTCTGTAGCACGCTCTCTGAGATATAATGTAGCTTATTCTTATGATTGTCGTTGTCGTTGAAAGTGGTGTTAATGTTGCTCTTCCAAATTTTTGAGTAAATTGATAGCATGTCTAAACGTTAATATTGACGCCCAAACTGCAAACAATATAGTTTGTATTATCTTAATTGTTTTAATCACAGCAGTCACTTTGTTGCCATTCTTCATTTCCTTATTTCCTGGAGAGAGTTTTACTTCGTCTATAAGTACAGTTCTACGTGCATTTTTACGCAGGCCTATCGCTAATAAAAGCAAATTACTGCGTTAAACTACTCTACAACATGCACACGAGTGAACTTATCGAGATTCATATTAACTTCACACAACTCAAGCAGCGCTATGTTTTTATTTTTTCTTGCCTACCTTTCCTCGTGGAATTTCCCTCTTTTTGCTCCTTTGCAGCTCGGGCGTTTACGCAGCTCCTTAATCTAACCTCTACTGTACTATGAATTTATTCAGATTCCTGCAGTCTCTGGGCTTCACCGTAATATTTTAATGTCATTTATTTGATCTTTATCACATTATGACATTATCACTTTATCACATTATTGCAATCATCATAATTATTGTTCATTAAGTGTTTTGATGAATTGAACTGCACTCACAAACATATCTAAATAACTAAATCTGTTCAAAATATTTCCCGAATAATAATTTTGTTGGATACTTTTTTCCCCTTTTTTATGTCGGATTAATTCATTTTTAATTCTTTTTATTCCGTTTTTTGAAAATTTCCCATAAGGAGCTCTCAATGTGAAAATACGAATATATTCAAATCACAAGGTGTATATCCATACTTTGATTATTCTATTATCATTAAATACATCGAATCCATCCCATATCTTGAGAACATTATATTTTTTAAATTAATCGAAAATCGGATTTTGAATTTTATAGAATCATTTAATCAACCCGATAAATAATCCCTATCAATTTGACAAAGAACACAACACAGTTAAAAAAAATGAAATGAACAACAAACGCAAAGTCAATTACACTTTGATAATGATAGCAGGCTGTAGCAGTGTTAAGGAGAGCGAGTGTCAAGCAGGAATTATGTACAACTGAAAGCACCATCAGATACAGAAGTATACAAAGATACTCTGCACATCACTCCGATGTAACAGGGGCAACATAAAGATACTTGCACCTTTCAATTAGATTAACTGTAAAATGGCACAGAGATGCAATAAATTATAAAGATTTTAAATTGTTTCATTTAAATGACCTCTTCTTAAACTAGCGACACATTCTTCTAATATACAGTGGGGTACAAACACGATGAGTGATGTAAGAGATGTCAATGATGAATCTGAAGGCAAGATTTTTAAGATATCAATGGAGTTATTCATAAAACCTTCATTATCTGTTTTGTCATGGCGATATAAGCTGTTACCATTTCGTTGTCTTTTTCTTTTGCGATCTATTAACAGGGTTTTCTGGCGTGGCAATGTGGCGCGACAACCACCCCCCTTTCCTTATCTGCATACACTGAAAGTGATTCATTAAAAACATCGATGACAGTAAATACCTTTTAACTGTACAGAGAATGCTACTGTATATTTCTAGCTGCTGTCAGCAACGTATAGGAAAGGTTTAAACTCTCGTATATATAGTGTAGTGAAAACCGAGAGCAATTTTCATTTTTAACAGTATCATAGGCACAACTCAATTTGACTAAGTTAAGGATTCTATCGGGAGAAATGAGATAGAGGAAATCCTTCCTGCGAATTTGTCGGCCTGTGCCTCTAAATACGGATTTCTCTGTTTTTAAACGTCACTCAAGACATGACAATTCAAGACACAAAACGACGTTAAATCGTTGTCTGAATAAAGAGCGGGCCTCTGTGGAATGCTGGATAACCACTGATCATAAAAGAGTTCACGTTTCCGTTGATTTCAGCTATACAGTTTCACATCAGACTATCCATTATTGATTTCGCTTCTGAATTTCGAAACAGTACTTTTTCCATAATATTTTAAGAATATCATAATTTTGATCGTTAATTTAAAGTCTGCCTTTTCTTTGCGATTGTGAAATGTTATTATTTTCTAAAGAACCTGCTTTTTAAAAATCTGCTACCCGTTTTGTTGCCTCGTTTATACGAGGTTGTTGCCACCGCTTTCAGTGGCTCTATCCAAGATGTGGATGTACTGTATAGGCCCATACCGAGTCGCCCTGACATGTGGCTCTTATGGTTCTGAAAGGCTTCCTCTAGTCTAGACAGTAAATAAGCCCATTTCCGTGTAAATCAGTTAACGTTTCACTTTTTCATTGTGCTGATAATTTACGGCATTTTGCACGAAGGTGGGTGGATGTATGGAACAAACTATTCTGTCATCTCTCATGTTTTCTACCAGGATTCTTCAAAAGATGAGATTACAGGATGAGCCTCTCGACTCGAAGGCACAGTAATAACAACCTTACGAGCTAGCTGGGCTAAATGTCCTGCTCTTATTTGTAACCTTACATTCAATTTATAATGGAGCAAAATATTTTTATTTAACATAAATCTAAGTTAGTGGTTTCAAAATACACAAATTCCATTTTAAGGACAACTTAATAACAGTGTTAGTTCCTGAAAAACAACTCTGCTTTTGTTTTCGCGTAATTTGTTTGCACACACTTTAAAGGTTGTGCTATTATTAAAATGTGACAATAGCCGTAATTTCACGCATATCTCTGCATGGGACTAAGGTGATTATTGGGCCTTGATATGAACACCCGTTACAATCGTGGAGGATAGCCAGCCAGTTACAGAATATGTCTCTCACGGCTTGAAAAAGCTCAGCATTATTACTGGAAAATATTTTCGTTACAGACGGATCGAGATAATACATATCTTTTCTACAAGGTTCTTAGCATAATACATTTTGCAAAGGAACAAGTAATAGGTTTATTCCATGCTGAAAAAAAGAAGAAAGAGAACACAACGTTTCGGCCGTGGAGCCTTCTTCAGGTGGCACCTGAAGAAGGCTCCACGGCCGAAACGTTGTGTTCTCTTTCTTCTTTTTTTCAGAATGGAATAAACCTATTACTTGTTCCTTTGCAGCCTACGCATGCTGACGCAGCTACCCACCTGAACTACATAATACATTTTGTGCGAGTTTCGGCTCCTTTTGCCCTATTTGCCAATCTATCATATTCATTTAATGTCACAAGCCATTACAAACGTGCCGTCTACTGCCAGCACTGTTATCAGACTTTCATATTTTCTTTTGAATGCTAATTAGAGTTGGTTGTATTGACACTTGCCAAGATAATAGAACAGTAATTTCCCTTCACATGTCAAGTACCAATAGAATATAAAGGATCAGGTAAAGGTTTATTCCATGCTGAAAGGAAAAGAAAAGAGACAACGTT